CTCAACATCATTAGTAATCAGGAAAATTAAATTATGAGAGGCCATTTTATGCCCACTAGATTGGCAAAAATTAAAGTCTGATAATACTGTGGGCCAGCAGGTGGAGCAATGAGAACTGTTAAACACTACTAGTAAGGATGTAAATTGGTCCGTGCCAGTTAGGAAAAGTTAGTCACTAGGAAAAGTTAGGCATCATCTAGTAATGTTGAAGGTGCCCATACCCTATAAGCCAGCAATTCCACTCTTAGGTAAATATCCTAGGGATACCTGTGTTTCTGTTTTGTAACAGTCAAAAACAGGGGCTGGCCTGGTGGCATAGTGGTTAAGTTTGCGCGTTCTGCTTCTATGGCCCGGGGTTCACTGGTTTGGATCCTAGGCACGGACTGCTCGTCAAGCCATGCGAGGAGGTGTCCCATATAGAAAAGCTACAACTCTACAACTATGATACACAACTATATACTGGGGCTTTGGGGAGAAAAAAAAGAAAGAGGAAGATTGGCAACAGAGGTTAGCACAGGGCCAATCTTCCTCAAAAAAAAAAAAATAAAACTGGAAACAACCAGAATGTCTCTCAAAGTTATCATGGATAAATTATGGTATACTCATATGATGGTATACACAGCAATAAAAGTGAAATAACCAAATAACAATGAGATACCACTACACACCAATTATAATGGCTGAAATTCGGAACACTGACAATAGCAAATGCTAAGGAGAACGTGGAGTGGCAGGAATTCTCATTCATTGCTGGTGGTACAGCCACTTTGAAGTTCGTCAGTTTCTTACAAAACTAAACATATGCTTACTACACAATCTAGTAACTGTGCTCCTTGGTATCTATCCAAACTTATGTCCACACAAAAACTTGCACACGGATGTTTACAACAGCTTTATTCATAACTGCCAAAACTTGGAAGCAACCAAGATGTTCTTCAGTAGACGAATGGATAAATAAAACTGTCATACATCCAGACAATGGAATATAATTCAGTGCTAAAGAGAAATGAGCTATCAAGCCACAAAGAAATGGAGGAACCTTACACACGTATTGTTAAGCGAAAGAAGTCAATCTGAAAAGGCTACATACTGTATAATTCCAGTTATATGAAATTCTGGAAAAGATTAACCTATGAAGACAGTAAAAAGATCAGTGGTTGCCAGAAGTTGGGGGAAGGGGATGAATAGGTGGAGCACAGTGGATTTTGGGGGAAGTGAAACTACTCTGTATGATACTGTAATGGTGGATACATGTCACTATACATTTGTCCAAACTCATAGAATGTACAACACCAAGAATGAACCCTAAGGTAAACTATGGACTTTGAGTGATAATGATATAGGTTCAGCAATTGTAACAAATGTACTATTCTGGTGTTGGATGTTGATAATGGGGGCGGCTATGTTACCACACAAAATTGGGGTTCTCTTGCTCAATGCACATAAAGAGCCAATTATTATGGCATCAGCTTTTCGGAAAAATAAATAGCTTTATTGTGAGATTGATCTGCAAGGAGACAGGAGGGACGGGCTATCAGATCTATCTCCCTGATCCAGGGCTTGGGGCAAAATTTATGGGATGAAGGGCAGGGCGGTCTGAAATGCAGAGATAGATGATTGGAGGTAGGGAGAAGTGAGGTAATTGATGATCTGCGCAAGTGTAGTCAAGCTTCGTACCTCTTCATAGGACGCGTGTTCACAAAATGGTGGTGTTGGTATGATCTGGGGGTGGAGTTTTCAGCCCCTTGATGTCAAAAGGGTCACTTATGGAGCATTTGCGCAGGCCCAGTTGATTGGTTGGTGGTCTCAACCAGCCTGACCTGGACAAGGGGGAACTCTCAGATCCTGAAAAACAACTCTTAATTACTCTATTGATAAGATGGGGTCAGTTGAACTGGTCCTAGTAGGCCCGTGGTTACAGCTATGTATGTATGGAAGCAGGGGGTATGTGGAAACTCTCTGTATCTCCCTCTCAAATTTGCTGTGAACCTAAAGCTGCTCTAAGAAACAGACTTTTTTTAAAATTAAATTTATCACAATTTTAAAAATGAAATAACTACAACTACCTGAAACAACATGGATGACTCTCACAAATAGTGTGAAGTGAAAGAAGATAGTCACAATTCCAAGTATATAAAGTATATGAAGTTCAAATATCTGTAAAACAAAACTGTGTTGTTTAAGAATGTTAGTACGGAAGATAAACCTATAAAGAAAAGCAAGTAAATCATATCACAATAGTCAGGATAGGGGTTACCTCTAGGATGGGTGGAGGAATGTCACCAGTGAGGGGGCTGGCGGCTGGGGGAGTAAGGAGGTGGGTTATCAAAGTGTTCAATTTCTTATCCAGGGTGATCATTACATGAGTGATAGCTTTATAAATGTTCTTTTAATTGGCAGTTCTCTTCTGAATGCTTCTCTTTTCTTAATAAAATGGAAAGCAAACACATCAACTGGGATTGAAGATGGGGGAGGAGGTGTTGAAGATTTGAGGAAAAGATGGTATGAAAGAAACAGATAAGTTGGAGAGTGAACAGAATAGGGAAATATAGTATTTTTTAAATCTTATTCTTTTATGAAAACTTCATTTTTCTCCTGATTTGTTTTTTCTCTCATATATAACATTATTTTATTAACTTTAATATACTATGCTATATGCAGTTATCCCAAACATGTAAATTATAAGGCTATTTAATATTTACAAATAAATTTTGAAAGCAAAATTAAGTCTTAATGAACCATATAATTGTGATAATAGTTGTTATATATTAGTTATTATTTTACCTTGAGCATTAGAAAAACTGATGTAGTTTATAGTTAGACAAAAATACACAGGGCTTATACAGGGATTTTTATTCTTTTTCTTTCAACTTTTTATACCAAGTACCTTTAGTGTTAAATTCTACATTTTATAAGTTTTAAATAGACATATGTATTTATTACCTCCTTATTTTATTGATCTCAAGTCCAAAAGTTGTTTTTTAAATGTCAGAAAATATAACCACATTAATATCACAAAACTAAATATTGATATTTCAAATTACTAGATAAAAAACTATTACATTCTTAAACTTTACTCAGAAGATTGAAATGGAAAAAAGTTGATAGATCTATATAATTTTATAATTTTGCCTGTTGTTACATGAACCAATTTGTAAAAATCAATTATTTAAATTATAACATGCCTTAGTTGTAAATCCGTGTTTATATTATAATTGCATACTTCAAGTAGTAACATACATAATGTAAATTTAAAGTTTTTATAAAGGCAAACATAGTAAATTTAAACAATTACCACCAATGTAGCTTTAAAATATGCCATGAGTTTTCATTTTCTAATATTCTACAATAACTAACTGTGACATTGTCATAGAGATAAAACACATACTCTTTTAAAATGAATTTGAATCTACAAATATTGAATGTAGAAATATTAAAATTGCAACTCTTGGATAGTTCAAGAAAAAAATATCGTGTGTGTAGATAGAGAATGAGGTGAATTTGGGTAAAGGGTATATGGGTGTTCTCTGTACTTTACTTATGCTGGCAACTTCTCTATAAGTTTGAAATTATTTCTAAATAAGAAGTTAAAATGAAGAAAGGGACATGAACTGACACAGTGACATAAGTGGAAATCGATGGCGTACTTGGAAATAAATGCGTCTCTTGGATAAGAGTGGGGGAGTATGGTAGTTTATGCCCTTCTTTTCAGCTTAAAAACCAAAGCCATAGCTAAGTTATGAATTTTTGTAAATAACGTTTTCTTCCTTCTGAGAGCTAGCCTTGAAATATAACTAGCTGCTGTTCTATTTTTCCTTCCCTTCTGCAGACCTTGTGTTCCCCATCCTTGAATCCACAAGCAGAGTTCTGTCCCACCCTGTCCAAGTCTGCACAGGGATCAGACATGGGAACTTGTCTGCAGCTATTCTGGACCAGCTGTTTTCTGTTAACCTCGCTGGTAAATGCTCTCTGATCTCATATCGCCTACAGCTATGTCTTTAATTTCTGTGATACTCAGTGAGGAATTATCACTACTAGGATCTATAATCAGGTCATTATAAATGACATATTCAGTTCGATAAGGAGGGGCAAGCGGAAGTCATCATCACGATATCATCTATAAGGGGAAATCTGCAACATTTGTCATCTTGTAAATCCTCAAAATTCCAGAGTTGAAATGAATGGGACAGTTATGCAATATGTTTCTGCTTGTGAAATTTCAGTTCCTATAGTATTGCTAATAGCACACATGCCATCAATAACACAAACTCATCAAATGTTCCAGTTGAAAGTCATTTTTATTACTGTTATTATCATCAGCAGCAGCATCATTATCATTAGCACAAAACTAAATCCAGTAATAAAAGAAAATAAAATCACACCTCAAAGGCATGTGCCTTGCTGACAGTGAGTCAACATCATCTTCATGTACAAGGGACAGCACCCTGAGGAGAAAGACCGTATCACAGCTTGACAATCAATTCAAGAATTCAGCCAACATTACTCAGCACCTAGGCACAATGGGAGATTTTAAAATGTGTACAAGAATCCCTGCTTTCAAGGATATTTACAGTCTAGTAGGAGGTATAGAAGAACACCAAAAAGAACATGGGGCCACATGAGATCAGTGACATAATGGAATCAGTGCCATGTATGAAGTGTTATTGGAGAGGGGCTTCACAAGAGATTAACATCATATTCAGTGGGCAATCAAAAGAGGCTCCATAGAGAAGGTGGCATATGAGCTGGGCTTTGAGGAACTAAAAGGATTATGGCAGACTGGCATGTGGAGAAGGGACACTACAGATGGAGAGAACAGTGTGGGCCAAAGCATGGCTATGGGAAAGTTTGTGGCTTGTTTGGGGAGATAATAATAGTCCAGTTTGGCTGGTGTATGAGATCTATTTAAGTGGCAATGGTGTATAAAATGCTGCAAGTTATATGGGGACCATATTTTGAATGGCTCTGAATGACAGGCTAAGATTTCTGATCTTTAATTCATGTCACAGAAACTATATTTATTCACAGCAATAAAATATGCAGTTATTTGTGAAGAGATATGGTCATTTCACTTCCAGATTTCTTAGGGAAACTCAAGTGGTTTCTAGGAAATGTTATTGCCTTGCTATCAAAAATGTCCCAGCAGATAACACCAAGCAATCTATAGTAAATTTTCCTATTTTGCATATAACTAAATCTCTTTCCTCAAAGTCTATTCTTTCCATCCATCCAGGGACCACATCTCTTCTCACTCCCACCTCCAGCCCCACCAGTTCCTGTGACACTTGATCCCTTGAGGCAAGTCTAATTTAGGATTTCCAGCCACAACTGCCACCTTGAAACTAGGACTTACAACCTTGAGAAGTGAGAGTAGTGGTGGTGGGGGTAGTAAACAATGTCATGAAAATGTAGCCATCTGAGAAGTTCTATGGAATCCCCATCATAAGAGTCAAGCTTAGTTCTTTGAAACTAGAGTTCCTGGTCTTCCGCTCAGTTTGGTCTGGAGGACAAATGGAGGGGTCCCAGAACTCATAGTGCCTAATTAAAGTCATCTTTTAAAGTTTCCTCTTATTGTCAAGGGATTCCTTAAAGGAATGGCATTTCATCTGGGTTACAAGTTATTCAAAGTCCTCCTGAGTCTGAGGCTGTTGAAGCTGTGGATAGACTGAGGTGACTTTCTTTTTCTGACCAAGGAATCCTGTTGGGCTTTGTCTGTGCCCAACAGGCTGGTAGTTGGGAACTTCTCTAGGGCACTGACAGTTCAAAGATGCTATAGAGTGGTTGTATTAGGTAACCAAGCCAAAGAAGTAAGCTACTTAGACCAACCTGGAAAAGCTTAGAATAACAAAGTTGCCATGGCCACACTTTCTGCAGCTAGTCAGTCTTTCAGCTCTTTCCTGAAATGAGACTTCCTCTGTAGGAAGTCATGGATAGCTGTAGTGAGGCCCCATGTCACACTGGACCTTAGGATGACCAGGGAGCCTCCACGGTAGATCAGGAACACCTTTCGGCCCCGAGTGTCCCACACGTCCTGGGCAGAGGCCCACAGGCTTGGCATGCTCTGCCAGCCAATTTGGGACTGCATATTGGCAACTAGCACAATCAGAGGATACAGAACCAGGCAGGTGATTGTTCCATTGACACTCCCAGACACCAAGGCAGGAACCCAGTGGGGCAGGCCTTGCTCTGCCAAGCCATCCTGGATGGGGTCCTTGAAGGAGAAATACAGAGCACTCCCCAGGCTGTTCCTGAGAAGGACAGGCCAGAAACCACGATAGTAGCCCAGGGACAGCCGCCCCCAAAGCCCATAAGAGTTGAATTCCTTGAGAATGCTGAAGGTGCTGGGGAAGCGAGCTTGCTTGCGACCATCCTGGAGCACATTTTGCACCCTTTCAAAGGGGCTGAGTGCCACAGCCTCCACCACACCAGACATGAGCCCTGCAGCCCAGCGGTGTGCCAGGGAGTGTGGCCCAACAGGGGAGAGAGAGCACAGCAGGCTGTCATAAGTCCCAAACAGTAAAGTCCCTTGCAATGTCTTGGAGAGAAGAGGTGGGTAGATTCCCCGGTAGAAGTACTGAGGGCCTTCATGCCAAAGCTGTCGCACAGCCTCTGACACTGCCATAGCATGGATCTGTTGCCGGAACACAACCTTATAAATAGGAAAGGTCAGAAAAGTAGACATAAAGTTGGAAACAGCCCCGAGGGCGTAGGCCTGGGAATGCCAGCTTTTCTTTGCTGGAGCCTCTGCTCGTGTCCGGTGCTGAAGCTCCTTCCCGGGAGAGTGGTCCTGTTCCCCCATGCTGAATACAACTGGGTGCAGATGCAAGAAACTGGCAAGAGTGGAAAACAAGAAGTTAGATGGACCATTAAATCTGTTGGTGATCATTTTCACTGCTTAGAAACAGAGCCCCAAGAAACTCAGCTCTAAGGAAACAAGCAACTCTTCGGGCCAATTTCTGAGAAATAGGCACACTCTTAAGAAAGAAATCAACCTTAAATTAAAACAAAGGCAGTTAGTTTTTCTGAACAGTCGCCTCTATAGTGTTTTGCTGACACAGCAAATATTCTAATATTCAAAGAAGGTTTAAGATTGAAGAAAGTGAAATTGTGGAAGGAGGGCTCCAAAACCTATTTCATTCAACTTTCACCCCATGAAATTCTGCATTTAATAAACCGCTAAAATAATAACTTGTTTTCTTTCCAAAAAGTGGCACTATCTCGTAGAGGCAGAAAGACATTCAAAAGTTACAGTGTGATACTTTCTCTAAAAGTTGGTAGTAAATTTGGGGAGCAGGGAGTCTCCCCTGCCTCTCTTTCTGTAGATTCCTGACCATGTTGTGGCTGTTGCATGGCAACGCCCTGCCCTCCCCCACCCACCAGTTGAGGAACAGAAAAAGTAGCTGTTCCTGGTAGTTCGGCACCAAAAGACTTCACACCTGGCAATTTCCAAGCCTAACCTTGTAGACCTGTAGCTGTATAATAGAGCAGGGGTTCTGAACCTTGACACTATTGACATTTTGGGCCCGATAATTCTTTGCTGTAGGTGCCCATTTTGTGCACCGTAGGATGTTTAGCAGCATCCTGGCCTCTTCTCGTTGGATGCCAATAGCACCATTTGTGACCCACTCAGCTATGACAAAGAAAAATATCTCCAGACACTGCCATATTTCCCCTGGAAGTGGGGGCAAAATCGCCCCTCGTTCAGAACCACTATACAGAGGGAAGAGGCAGTGCGAGGACTCTAAACTATTGCTCCCATCCCAGAATGGTCCAGGAGCAGGTGAGGTGGTTTGAGAGGTAAACGGGGAGTCAGGGAACAAGAAGGAAATTTGGAATCAAGGGAAAATGAATGCTCAGTGCAGATCTGAGAAGCTGAGGGATTTTGTTGTGAAATAAATAGGGTCCCCACTGGGCGGAGGGCAGAATGCGCTGCAGTGGGAGATGGTGTGTGGAGGAGAGGACGCATAGAGCTGTATGGCTAGGGGGGAGGAGGAGAGGGGAGAGGGCACCATGACCCATGACCAGGCAGGGGACTCACATCTAGATTGACACGTAGCCTAGCAGGAATTGCAGACCCAGAGGTTTCACACAGAACCCTGGGCTGTGTGGTCCTGAGGGAAGGAGGGTGTTGGGGCTCTAACTATACTAGCAGTTGATGGCCTGCTGATAGGGACAATAGAGTCAAAGGGGCCCGAGGCTAAGGCCCCGAGGGAGAGGTTGAAGCCAGGCACTATAAGAAGCCCACTGCAGCCTTCCCTGGGCTGCCACACCCAGGACCTGCCTTGAAGTGCTTCTCCTCCCAGAACCACCCCCACCAGCTCCTCCTTGGTTTCTTGCTCCTGCTCCATCCTTGACCCCACAGTCTGACCTTACAACCCTCCCCTCCCTGGAGCTACACTCTCTCTTCATGGAGGGGGTGGAGGCTCAGGCTCCTGTGCTCTGCCATCACCCCTCCTCCACCCCCACATTCCAGGTTTGCCTTAAGCCTCACCGCCTTAACCCTCATGGCCAGAAGGAGACCGGGAGGGCCTCTCTGCCTCCGACACTTTAGCTGGGAACTGGCTAGGAGCAAAGGCTCAAGACGCCCACTCCTTGCATCCCTCTGGGGCACTTCTGGGCCCCTGGCAGCCACCTCCATCTCTCCCCCACCCCAGGCAGGAGGAAGCTCCACTCAGGACCCCAAAGCCACAGGGGCCCCCAACATTCCCCAGCTCTCCTACCAAGGGACTTCTTCCCCAGGTTTTACCAACACCTAAAGAAGGATGTGTGGTGAGGGAAATGTCTGTCCCCTCTTCTATCTCAGAGTGCAATAATGTTCCACTTCCTTCCCACCTTTTCCTGAGTAACCTATAAACATGTGTTGACTAACTGCACAAGGCAGGCTGACTTCGCAGAAAGACAACTGGGCTAGGATTTGGCAGGCCAGCATTCCAAATGCCAGATCTGTTATCAACCTCCTGTATGACCTTTAGAAATTCATTGACATCTTGGAGCCTCATCCACCTCAGTTATAAAATGAGCAGACAGGGTGAACCGCTCTCTAGGTATCCTCATACTGTGCATATCACAGGGGGTTGACACCGGGGAATTTGGGCCAATATTTGATAGAGGAATTATGCTTTTATATCCCCGATTCCTTCTGCCATTTTTGCCAAGCATTTTTAGGGATTAAAGGTGAACAATAATTTAGAAATACCTTACCTTAAAAATCTAATTCAACATTTTATAAATCTAATTCTTTCCATTTAACAGGGAAAGAAGGAGTCCACTTTTCTCCCATGTATTTTTCTGTTAAGATGCCAGGCTTTGAGGGCAGACAGACTCGAAACTGAATTCTGCCTCCACCACTTAGCTGTGTGACCTTAGGCAAGACACTTCACTCAGTCTCCATTTCTCAGCTACAAAATAGGACAATAGACCTACCTCCAAAGGTTGTTGCAAAAATTAATAGAATAAAATGAGATAAAGTGGTTGAGCATCCATGGCATGGTGGCCTTGATAAAAAGTATTTAAAGAAAAAAAGAAAAAGATGCTTCCCAACCTCACCATCTGTCTCCACAGAGCGCGTGCTCCTACAGGTCACTCTCAAGCCAGCCGGAACCAGAGGCAGTGGTATGGTGGAACAAATTCTGTGTTCACATGGGAGGCAGGAAAGATCTTTCTTCTGTGAGTGTAAAGGTGTCATAGAAACAATCCTGGTCAGCCTGGCCCCTTCATATGAATTCCAAAGTAGGGACCACAGAATGGGCCTGGAGTCGGCCTTGAGCAGTTATCCCTTGTATCCTATGATGCGCCTCCTGTGTTTAGAGCCTAGTAAAGTGAGCCCAGGGATTCCATACTCCCCTGGCCAGTCTAGTCCAGACAGACAGCCTCTGTGACTGCCCCAGGATCCAGCCTCCCATTCGTCGGTTCATTCAGGGCATCCCTCAGCTGGTCCTTTGGTTAGCTCACAGACACGTAGTGATCATCCACTAAATCACCATGGGTAAAGCACCGTGGAGCTAGAGGTGAATAGTACTTGGTGCCTGCCCTCAAGGGCTTGGGAATCTAGTGGGGGAGACTGGTGAACAATGAGCTAAACTATACTAGAAGGCAAAATAAAGTGTACATTAATCAAGGTCAGAGTGGAAAGGCAAGAGCAATGTAGTCCACCTGAGAGAGGGAGTGTCTAAAAAATTTCTCTGAGGAGGAGCATCTGACTTGATCCTTAACTGACAAGTAGGCTCTCATTAGGTTGAGGAGTGAGGGCAGGCATTCTAAGCTGACGAAGAGGCTTAAGGCACAGAGGCTTACAAGCATGAGCAGTGCATGGCACTGGGACACAGGCCGTGGGGAGGAGACAGAGCTGTGGCTGACGGATTTAGAATGAGGGCCATATTTGTTTTCCCCACTGCAGCCCATTATAGCATAAAGACACGGGCTCTGGAGTCAGACAGCGTTATGTTTGAATTTCACTGTGCGACTTCTTAGTTTTATGACCTTGGCCAAGTCTCTTCACCTCTCTGAGCCTCGGTATCCTTATCTGTATAATGATTGTCATGGAGGTTGCATGAGATGAAGTATATAAAATGCTTAGCATAGTACCCGGGATATTAGTTACTCCATAAGATATATTAGTAGTTTCATTAAAAAGAAAATGAAATCCAAGAATAAAGGTAAGGTTACAACTACATTGTTTTAAAGGCTGAAATCAGTCTAATGCACTGGGTTGTCTGCAGAGTGCACTTTAAATTGCTTGTTTGGAAGACAGCAGATAAGAGTTGTTCATGGGCTTTGGAGTTTGACAGCCCTGGGCTGGAGTCCCAGTGCCTCCACTTACGAGTTATGTGGCCTTATAGAAGTTGCTTAACTTCCCTTAAACTCAGTTTCCCCGTCTGCAAAATGGGATAAAAATGCCTGTCTCAACAGGGTTGCTGAGAAGCTTAAATCAGACAACAGATGGAAAGTTCCTGGCACAGAGCAGGCAGGCAGCCAAGGGCAGCTATTATTGTTTCAACTGAAAGCTTTATCTCCTAACCTTCAAGCTTTTAAGGTTTCTTTGTTGAAATTGGAAAATGTGGTCTCATTAGAGCCATGAATTGGAACACACTCTCACATATGAGGCCAGAGATAAGGGATGCTCTGTATCCAGTTGGAGCCAGCTTAGCAAATCCTCCTCCCAGCCTTGCATGAAGAGCCCCTCGCTTTGTTCTAATGGCCCAATCCAGGCACCTTTACACAATCCATTTCCTTTCACTTTTTTTTTGTTAGAGCTCTAAAACCTATTCTTTGTCATATTTGATCTCACCCCACCAGGCCGAACTGCAGATCACCTAATTCGGTGATAAAGCCAATTTAAACACAGAACAAGAGTCTGCTGAGACCCAGGATCAGATGTCATGGTACTGGGGAGAGCAGAAGCAAGAGTCTGAAGGAAGCCCAAGAGCTACTGCCAGCATCGCCCCTGATTGTGTGAGGTGAGCCTTCTCTCTACCTCTCACACCCTCTACCCTCTACCACCCCCCACTGATCCATCTGCAAGAGAAAAGCCACAGTACTCATATAGAAGGTGCTTCACCTGCAAATTTGAATTGTTTACTCCAAGGAACTCTAGGTCTTGGGGTTGTGAATAAGAAGGCAGAAAGGTGCAGGTAAGGTACCTTGGTGGGCTGAAGACAAACCCAACAGCAGTCGAGGGGCATCAGATTGTTCATTTGCTTCTAAGCATCAGGAGTCAAGAACAAGTCCCACAAGGGGCGTCTTAGCCACAATCTACAGAAGGGAAGTAAGACTTGCTCTCCAAGAACCAGAAGTCATGGAAAATGGAGGTTTCTCAGTTACTGGGCTTCATGGCCCATTCACTCTAGACAGCCCTGCATGCCGTTTCCATGGAGTTGCTCCTTCTCTGGGGCCAGTGATGCCAAATCCAGCAAAGGAGAGGTCCCCTCAAGAGCTCACAGAAGGGCAACCTAGCAACCTATCCTCAAGCCAGGAAATGAAAGAGCTGTATCAGCGGCAGAGAGCTGTGGTTCAGGGGTTAGGTTAAATTGTGTTTCATTTCTCACACTTCTTCCTCAAGTACAAGTTGAAAGATGAAGATGTTACAAAGAATGCTTGTAGGGGAGTGATTATTAACCATTTCTGGGCCACAGACTCATCTGAAAATCTACAAAGCTATGGACTTAGAAAAATATAGAGTCCAAATTCTTTGTAAACAGTTTTAGGAAGGAGCCTAGGTAGTAACCTCTGCTCTGCAGTTACACTTCATGACAGATACACTGTGAACAGATACACTGGCAGCAGGCGCATTTACTTATTACCCTCAGCATGATATGGTGTCATCACAGTGGTTCACAAACCTCCCTACACCTCAGAATTAACTACAGCACTGGTTAAAAATATAAAACACACTCCCCACCCCTAGTCCTAGTAAATCCTAATCGCCCAGAGGTGGAACTCAGGAATCTGTATTTCTAACAAGATCTCCAAAATGATTCTGAGGCAGCCAGCCTTGTACCTATACTTCGGTTAACAGCATGGGTTCTGGCACCAGAGAGACTTGGTCCAAATTTTGGCTTCACCTTGTAATTTCAGGCAAGTCATTTCACCCCTCTGAGCTTTGTCTCCTTTGGGGTCATAAGCTGTAGAAATCATGTTTTACTTTTTTTTTTTTAATAAACAGGCAGCTTGTTGTAGTGTAAAACATAGTGTAAAAAAGAGAAAGTGCCTCAGTTTCCTCTTCTGTACAGTGGATACCATAAAAATTGCCTGCCTCTTCCCCACACCTCTCCCCGTTGCCTTCCCACCCCCTCCCTCAGCACTACCATCACATCAAGACTGCTACTGAGATGGTTTGAGACCACTGATGTAAAAATGCTCTCTGGCAGCTCAGCTGGGCAAATAGTTGGAATTTAGAGAATAGACTTGAGTGCAAAATCAGATGCTGATACTTATCTGCTGTATGATGCAGGGCAAGACGCCTAACTTTTGTTTCCTCATCTGTAAAATGGAGATAATAGTCCTTGCTCAGTAATTCTACATAGTTCCAAATGGGCCCTCCCGTCTCCACTTGGGCTTTTCTCCACTAACCCTCAATCTGAGAGTAGAGAGGATTGTTTACAAGGGGCAGTCTTTGAAATCAGACATGTCGACTTTGGTGTGAGCTGTTAGCTCTGCACCTCCTAACCGTACTGCCTGGGTGCTTAAGTTCCCTCTCTGTTAAATGGGCATGCTGCTACCTCCCTCATAACGCCGCTGAGAAGAATAAATGAGACGTCCGTGCAAGCGCATTTGCACGCAGAAAGCGCTCAGTAAGTGCTTTTTCCCCGCCTCCCCGTATACAAAGGTGAGGAACTCATTGTTCACTTGATTTCTGTCCCACCTCGTGTTTAAGGCATCCGGTCTCAAAGCGCGGAGGAGAGTGGAGGCGGAAGGGGAGAGGGAGAAGGGAAGCGAGGGGGAAGCAGCAAACTCACGGGTAAAATGCAAATCGGCCCGGTCCGTGCGTCCCAGCTGCACTTGACACCGCGCCGGCTCCCGCGCCTGTGTGCCGCAGCCCCCGCCAGCCGGCTCCCCCTTTTTGCTAGCAATGGCCTGGGGCTGGAGGCTGAGCGGGGAGGCCGCCCCCGCGCCCCGCGGATTGGCCGCGCCGTCCCGCTCATCACGCTTTTTTGTCTCAATGGGCAGAGGCTAAAAGAAGCAGCGGCTGCTGGGAGGGCCCAGCGGGTGGGCGGGGGCGGCCGCGGCTGCCATGGGAACCGTGCTGCCTCTACTGGGCTATCCCTCGCTGGGCGGCCGTGCGAGGCAGCTCCATCCAGCAGCTCTGGGTCGCTTAGCGGCCGAGGAGGCGTCATCCTTTTCCCCTGCAGGGCTGCAGAGACCAGAAGGCGGCATTCGCGGCTGTCCACATCAGAGCGTCCGCTGCCCTCCAGCTGAGCACAGGTAAAGAAAGGGGGTGCTATTGCTGGGCGCAGAGAGAGAAGGGGGAAGCCCCAGCAGTACTGGGCGGCTCCCGGCTTGGGGAATCGATAACTCTGAGGCAGGGTAGGGAGCACTCTCGTGGCCCAGCTGCGCTGAGGGTGGAGGTGGGGGTTCAAATGGATGTTGCTGAATGGGTAGGATTTGCCTGGATTGAGGGGGGCGCTTTCAGGGGGTAGGAAGGGGCGAGGCGAGGAGAATTGCAAGCTGCCCGCCTTGATCCCCTCTGCATCTCCTCATTTCTTCCCGGGGAGGAATACTTGGGTGTGCGTGTCCAACTCCTATTCCTTTTCGCCATGGCAGGCCATCAAAGCCGAATCCAAACTTGAGTTGTGTGTGGCTGATTGTAGAGCTGGTAGGCCGACGGTTTCCCCGAGAAAATGTAATGGAGGGTTCGCTTTGGCTTGTATTCAGAAGGTGGGAGAGGGAATTTTCCGTCTGGCTAAAGCTGAGAGTGGGGGAGCAGGATGAGGGATGAGACGTGTTTCTGATCCTTCCCTTCCCTGCCTTCCGCGACCCCGCAGTCTTGACACCCTGAGGACTGGGATCTGCAACCCCCGCTGGACAGAGGCGAGCTTTTTCACGGAGGGCACCTGTTGCAGAGACTACGAGTGAAATAAAGGCGCTCACTGGTTTCCCAGCTGTGTAAGAATCTAATAACGGGGGAAACTTGGAGAAGGGGGTGTGGTTGAGACCTGAGGCCATGAGTTTGATGGAGATCTTATTTATTAACACAAATCTGTGAGACTTAGACCATCGCACTCTATTTTGAGAGCCCAATATTGGCTCCATACACTATTTCACCAAGAATTTGAAACAACAGTTGCCCTCGCTCCTGGAGGACTGGCAGGAGGGGATGGATGTGGCTCCGAAGAGCACCCTGCTAGCAGGAGAACACCTGCTAGCTCCTGAAGGTCGTAATTGCCAGACTCCTGCAGGGTATTTTTGGGGCAGTGGGCAAATGTACAATGTATTCCAGAGTGTTCAGGAAGGTAGAGAGAGCGACTGCAGATTGCTTCCCTGCAGTCCACTACCTTATAGACCTTTTTTTTTCCTTTTCTTTACAGTCCCTACCGAGATACAAGGAAGGCAGAACCCGGGAACATTGCTTTTGGGATTCCTCCTGCTCATTAGGCTTTTCTAAAAAGCTTGAGCATCTTGTTAAATTCAGATAGACCGTCATCGTCTGTCATGGCTAGCATCATTTCACGTGTGGGTAATAGCTGGCGGCAGAACACAGCCTTGCCGCCTTGGGCCCATTCCATGTTGAGGTCCCTGGGGAGGAGTCTTCGTCCTTTAAGGGTCAACATGGCAGAAAGAAACATGAAGTTGTTCTCCGGGAGGGTGGTGCCAGCCCAGGGGGAAGAAACCTTTGAAAACTGGCTGATCCAGATCAATGGGGTCCTGCCAGATTGGAATATGTCCGAGGAGGAAAAGCTCAAGCGCTTGATGAAAACACTTAGGGGCCCCGCCAGGGAGGTCATGCGTTTACTCCAGGCGGCCAACCCCAACCTAAGCGTGGCAGATTTCTTGCGCGCGATGAAATTGGTATTTGGGGAGTCTGAAAGCAGTGTCACTGCCCATGGTAAATTTTTTAACACTCTGCAGGCACAAGGGGAGAAAGCCTCCCTTTATGTGATCCGTTTAGAGGTGCAGCTCCAGAATGCTATTCAGGCAGGGGTCATAGCTCAGAAAGATGCAAACCAGACTCGCCTGCAGCAACTCCTTTTAGGGGCTGAGCTGAATGGAGACCTGCGCTTCAGACTGAAGCATCTTCTCAGGATGTATGCAAGTGATCAGGAGCATCTTCCTAATTTCCTGGAGTTAATCAAGATGATAAGGGAGGAAGAGGATTGGAATGACACTTATATGAAACTGAAGCGGCCCAAAAGATCTGAGCTAATCATGGAGAGGACAGCAAGCCCTGTGGCATTTCAGGGCCTTCAGCTAATAGTGATCAGCAGTGCTGACTGCAACGTGATAGAGATAGATGATACCCTCGATGACTCAGATGAGGATGTGATCCTGGTGGAGTCTCAGGACCCTCTACTTACCTCCATGGATGCCCCTCACCTCAGAGGCAGGGCCAGACCTCAGGATCAAATTCTGGTCATTGATTCTCCCAACAGTTCCCAGGCTCAAGCTCCTTCCACCAGTGGTGCTTCTGGGTATAAGAATGATGGTCCTGAGGATATACGTAGGGCCAGGAAGCGAAAATACACAATCCGTTGTTCATATTGTGGTGAGGAGGGCCACTCAAAGGAAACCTGTGACAATGAGAGCAACAAGGCCCAGGTATTTGAGAATCTGATCATCACCCTGCAGGAGCTGACACGTACAGAGGAGGAGGGATCAAGAGAGGTCCCTGGCGAACACAGTGACCCCTCTGAACCACAGTAAGGTGCTAGACCCATGCCTAAGTGAACCCTTAACTGTATTCAGAGACTAGCGATGGGAACAACGACGGTATGTGTTGGGGGGGGTGCGGTGACAGAAGGCTTCTTTCTATCTGCATGAATTAATCCACAAAGTGGCTTTCTTTGGGGAAGAAGAGGTCCTGGATACCAGCAAAGTGGAGGTGATCGCCTGACCTGTCCCTGCTCCCTCCTCCATCTGCACAAGGGTCTATTTTCTGTATGTGTCTATTTCCTTGATGACTTTATTCTTTTTATGAAAGGAGTATAACTCTTTGTTAAACCTTCAAAAATGAAGGAAAATACAAAAACGAAAGTACAAATTACCTGAAACTCTCTACCCGTATACAACCATTGTCAGCCTTTTGATGAATGTCCTTCTGGATATTTCCCTATACCTGTGAATCCAGATAGATATATGTATAGATAAAAGTGATCAAATATAGCTGCTGTTCTATACTGTGTATTTTTTCACCAGACAATATATGCTGCGGACTTCTATGTCAATGAATATATATAAGCATCAAGTTTAATGTCTCTGTGTGTGATATTACTTTTAGGAATATAAAAGAAAAATAAACAAGAAAACTAAATATGGAAGCTATAATGGAGGGAGATCATACTGCAAAGTGGACTTTTTATGCACCTCATTTACAGATGAGGAAAAGGGAAGCTGAAATGGGCTGAATATCTCCCAAAGAGCCCTTTATCAAACCTGACCTGTCTCCTCGATCAGAGTCAAATCTGCACCCACTGTTGCCTGGGCTGGTGTGGGGCACAAGACAAAAGATAAGGCACAAGAAAACTTTTGAAGGCAATAGATATGTTTTTTTTTTTTTTGCTTGTGGTGATGGTTTCACGGGGGTATGCATGTGTCAAAAGTTATACATTTTTTGAATACACTTTAAATATGCGCTGTTTGTTTTGTCAATTATATCACAATAAAGCTGTTGAAAATTTTTTGAAAAGTCTGTACCCACTAATAATGTCCCAATGCTTTCTTCTCTAATGCATCCTGAGAAATCTGATGATGGGATGGGAGTGGAGTCAAAAAATGGGAAATGGGTATTTCAGGGGCTCCATTCCCGTTCACTTTAGGTAGAGGCCGCTTGCCCTTCCCTGGGTAGATTCATTAGATTGCTGCTACTGCTGCTTCTGGACAACGCCTGGTGGCAACAAGACTGTCCTTTGGGCTGACACTGCCTTCTGCCTCCTCCCCAATTACAGAGAAAGCAGCTACTCATGAGAGTTCAGTACCAGGAGCCTCAGCACCCCCCAAGCCTCACCCTAGCTACAAGCTAGAGGACACCAGCAGCCCAAGGACTCCAGGCTAACCTCTCCCCGACCCCAAAAATGGGAATAGCCAGGGAAGGATGAAAAGCAATCCGGATGCCAGGGCATGTGAAAAAACGTGGGAATTAGCCCTCATACCCTTTTAGAACTGAGAGCATTAATAGGGGAGAGAGAGCACAGAAGGACCTTCCTGGACACCAGCTCCTGCCCCACCTCATGGTCTCATATGGGAGGGTGAATAAAAATGACGTGTGACTTCAGTCCTTGAGGGTTCCATGTTCCTTGTAGGTATATCACTTCATATCCTTGTGAGCAGGACAAGGTTGGTGGGGGGATGATTTCATTTAAGGCAGGGAGTGAAGTGAAATGAATGCAGACGTGAGGAAGTTTGTCAGGAAGGAAACAGGGATGAGCGGACAGAATGCACTGCAGTGGGAGATGGTGTGTGGAGGAGAGGAAGCATAGAGCTGTATGGCTAGGGGGGAGGAGGAGAGGGGAGAGGGCACCATGACCCATGACCAGGCAGGGGACTCACATCTAGATTGACACGTAGCCTAGCAGGAATTGCAGACCCAGAGGTTTCACACGGAACCCTGGGCTGTGTGGTCCTGAGGGAAGGAGGGTGTTGGGGCTCTAACTATACTAGCAGTTGATGGCCTGCTCGATAGGGACAATAGAGTCAAAGGGGCCCGAGGCTAAGGCCCCGAGGGAGAGGTTGAAGCCAGGCACTATAAGAAGCCCACTGCAGCCTTCCCTGGGCTGCCACACCCAGGACCTGCCTTGAAGTGCTTCTCCTCCCAGAACCACCCCCACCAGCTCCTCCTTGGTTTCTTGCTCCTGCTCCATCCTTGACCCCACAGTCTGACCTTACAACCCTCCCCTCCCTGGAGCTACACTCTCTCTTCATGGAGGGGGTGGAGGCTCAGGCTCCTGTGCTCTGCCATCACCCCTCCTCCACCCCCACATTCCAGGTTTGCCTTAAGCCTCACCGCCTTAACCCTCATGGCCAGAAGGAGACCGGGAGGGCCTCTCTGCCTCCGACACTTTAGCTGGGAACTGGCTAGGAGCAAAGGCTCAAGACGCCCACTCCTTGCATCCCTCTGGGGCACTTCTGGGCCCCTGGCAGCCACCTCCATCTCTCCCCCACCCCAGGCAGGAGGAAGCTCCACTCAGGACCCCAAAGCCACAGGGGCCCCCAACATTCCCTGACTCTTGTAGGTTTAGAGCCCTTTATTCCTCCTACACCTCTCTAAATCTACCCTTGGAGCTGATCTGCCCTCTCATCTCTCCTAGATTACAATATCATTCCTCTTTTTGCTCACCTTTTCTCAATTTTACTCTATACATGCTTGTTGAATGATTTACCCAGGTAAACAGTTTATGCTGTCATAATTTCTTTCTGGGACCAGGTAGAGCAAAAAAAAAAAATAAGTAAACGCTACACCTACCACCACCCTCCTTTTAACTGGAGTTTGCTTGGGGATTCAGTACAAGTCCCTGTTTTGAAAACCTGTTCTGTGATTCATCCCCTTTTCTGCCCTCTCCCATCCTCTTCTCTGTTGTGTAAACTTGAAATTGTCTAAATTTTTATTTCAGCAAAATGATGCAAACCTGATACTTTATTTCACTTTGTGTAACACTGGCTTTTCCTTTATTCAGGAAATATGTATTTTCCCTACTGGGAAGACATGGGAGACCTGGGCATTCAGATCAGAATAAGGGAGTTAGCTGAAAGAAGGCTTTTAGAGAATTTTGTCTGACAGCCTTCATTTAAGATTATGAGTTTTTCCCTTCCTTTCACCCTTCATTCTCATTAGTCGCCAAGAGATTAAATGAGTCTTTTGTCAGGAGAAAGCAGCCTTTGAATGACCTTCTTTTGCACCATCTCCCTCCTAGATACTATTTTCCCTTGGTTTCCATGACCCCCCTGTCTCATAGTTTCTCTCTTCCAGACCTTTTGGTGCCTACTGTTCAGTCTCCTTTGCTGAATCTTCTTTCTCTTCCTGATCCTTCAATAACAGCGATCAAAATTAAAATCTCCACAACTGGGGTTTACCAAAAGCTTAGTATGTGTCAGGCACCCTTATGCTAAGCCCTTTAAATGCAGTAGCTCTTTAATGCTCATAGCAACCCCATAAAATCGCTATTACTTTCTCTTTCTAATTTTCTATTAATATTAATTTAATTACTATTAATTGCCACATATTTCAGATGAGGAAATAGGCTAGAAAGTTGGGAAATTACCTTGGGTCACGCAGCTCTTTAGCGGTGGAGCCAGGGATGAGACACCTGGCTGACTGACTCCAAAGCCGGTGCTCCTTACTCGGGTTAGCTCTCCTGTGCACAGCATCCTGTGATGTAGGTGCTATCCTATCTGCACTAGACACAGGAGGAAAGTGAGGTCTACACTCATGAAGTGATCAGCCGAAAGTCATGAGAGCAAGTGGCTTGTGTGTCACACACAAGGATGGAATCTTTAAGGAAAACTTCTTTGACAGAAAAGAGGCTTTTCTACCTTTCTTTTTCTTTCCCTCTGGGTTGCAGCTACCCATCCTGCTGCCTAGAAACCACCACCCCCCATTCAGTCCTATTATCACATTCCATTTAACACTGTTGTTTCCTGTCTATGCTTTAGGTGCAAATAGTTGTGAATTCAACATATGTAAGAGGAGACAGCAGCAGAAGTCAGTGGAGAATGGAGTAATTGTTCAATTAAGTGGTGCTAGGGGGACTTCATCTGATTGGAAAAAAGATCAGTTTACTTTCTCTCATGACACCAAATATGAATTCCAGATCAATTTGAGAAATAAATGTAGATTTTACACAAGTGTGTACTAATTATTTAATAATATATTGTTGTTATGAAAGAAATAAAAAGAATCAAAGGTTCAAATCAACCCCTTTTAAAACTGCAAGAAAATAAATATTTATTAAATCTCTGGATTGGAGAAAACTTTTTATGGTTAAGAGTGATGAAATAAATTATAAAGGAAAGACCAATAACTCAGAAGATAGCACTAACAGAAATAAAAGACAAACAGCAAGCTGAGAAATATTGGCAACAGATAAGAAAAACAATAATAACAGCAAACTTTTATTGTGTTTGGATAGTTAACATTTATTAAGTTCTTACAAAGTGCCAGGCATATTCTAAGAGCTCTACATGGTTTCATTTCATTGTCACAATAAACTGTGAGAGAGATCCTAATATTATCTCAAGGTTCTAAAACATTCTTATGTAAGGGAAAAAAACCAGAAAATGCATAAAATGTAAATATACAAATTAACAAGTTATAATAAAGGAAACCACCACAAAGATCAAGAAATAGAACACTGCCAGAACTTCCAAAATCCCTGTGAGCCCCTGCCCAATCACAACTTCTTTCCTCTCCCCTAAAGGAAACCACTGTCATGACTATATGGCTATTACTTTCTTGCTTTTCATTAGAGATTTACCACTCAAATATGAATCTCCAAACACTATTGTTTTCAAACTTTAAACAGAACTATAATTTTTATTTATTTATTTTTTCCCCCAAAGCCCCAGTAGATAGTTGTATGTCATAGCTGCACATCCTTCTAGTTGCTGTACGTGGGACGCGGCCTCAGCATGGCTGGAGAAGAGGTGCATCGGTGTGCACCTGGGATCCAAACCTGGGCCACCAGCAGCGGAGTGTGCGCACTTAACTGCTAAGCCACGGGGCCGGCCCTAAACAGAACTATAATGCATGTATCCTTCTGTATCAGGCTCATTTCCCTTACAATTATGTTTCTGAG